TAATTAACCTATAGAGGGTGCTAACCCAATGAATAAAATCAAGTTCAGGGTCAACTATTATCTATCCTACATATTCTTATAACATGCACCACTTACCCCTTCCTTTTATGCCTTTACAACAATTTAATTAAATGATTCTCTATCTTGAGTGCCTCTTGGGACTTGCATCGAGTGAACTATGATATTGAAAAAATCTCTGCCTTCTTACACAATAATAACTTTAGTAGTATTAGTATTAGAGAAATATACATACAGAAGGAGATGTACTTGTTTTATAGATTGTGCAAAAACATTTGATGCAGAATGTCGCAAAGAACTGTTGAAACAGTTTAAAACCTTGACGTATTTGGGAAGGACATTAGAATAATTAAGAACCTCTACTGGTAGCAAACTGCATGTATATCGACAGAAAATTACTTCAGTAGATATATAAAAATAGAAAAGGTTGTAGGACAAGGATGTGTTTTCTCACCAAATCTATTCAAACTATACAGTGAGGCAATTCTGAGAGAATTAGAAGTCTTATCAGGATTCATTATTGACAGTTACTATCTTAACAACATAAGATATGCAGATGACACTGTGTTGATGGCAGACATACAAAACTACAAGAATTCCCACAGATGAAAATCGAGGACTAAATATCAATTGCAAGAAGACTAAATGCACGATTGGTAAAAGAACAGCCCAAAATACAAATTACAAATTAGAGATACCAAAATCAAACAAGTACAATAATTTAATTACCTGTTAATTGTTTTAACAGAGGATCGAAATGTTTTAACAGAGGACTGAAAATGTTTTAACAGATTGTTTTAACAGAGAATTGAGAAAGTTTTAAGATTGTTTTAACAGAGGATGGGAAATGTTTTAACAGATTGTTTTAACAGAGGACTGAAAATGTTTTAACAGATTGTTTTAACAGAGGATTGAAAATATTTTAACAGATTGTTTTAAAAGAGGACTGAAAATGTTTTAACAGATTGTTTTAACAGAGGACTGAAAATATTTTAACACATTGTTTCAACAGAGGACTGAAAATGTTTTAACAGATTGTTTTAACAGAAGACTGAAAATGTTTTAACAGATTGTTTTAACAGAGGACTGAAAATGTTTTAACAGAGGACTGAGAATGTTTTAACAGATTGTTTTAACAGAGGACTGAAAATGTTTTAACAGATTGTTTTAACAGAGGACTAAAAATGCAACACTGAAATTCAGAGGCACATTGAGATAGCCAAAGATGCATTTCAAAAGCTAAGCAGAATATTAAGAAAAAATTTGTTAGAAACAAAGAAAACAGCACTGAACAGTTATGTAATATCAGTCTTATGGAAGTAAATGCTGGACAATCTCTTCACGGATGAACAAGATACGTAAAGCAAGAGGAATATTGTTTTGCAGATAGATGCTGAGAATTCCATGGACCGAATATGTGAATAACGGCAAAGTTCTCAAGACGGTGGAAACAAAAATGACACTTATACTTATCATAAGAAAGAGAGAGTTGAAACTTCTAGGGCACATACTGAGGAAAGAAGGCTTGGAAAATCTGATATTCACAGAACAGATTGAAGGTAAGAGGTCCAGAGGAAAACAGTGTATTACATATTTGGTGAGCTTGAGTTAATGGATAGTAGAACAGGATTGAGGAAACAAAAAGACAACATTTATTAAGAGCTACAATGGACAGGAAAATGTGGAGAGCCATGATCGCCTATGTTCTGAAGTGACCCAGCACATAAAAGAAGAATGAGTTCAAGTAAATGGATAGTGGAACAAGGTTTAAGAGAAATAACAAAAAAACAACATTTATTAAGAGCTACAAAGGACAGGAAAATGTGGAGAGCCATGATCGCCTATGTTCTGGCAGAAGTATTATTATTATTAATATAGTAGTATACATTAGTGTACGTTATAAATATTTTTTCTCTTTTACAGACCTTTATTTTAAAGCTTATTCCCTGTACTCATCTCAACACCACCTATGACCTGACTTAATTTTTCTTTTAATCAGTATCACCCCAAGCAAGGCATTACAGCCACTAGCTTCCAAGGGGTTACAGGATGTGGAGGAATTAGGAACAGAAACATTACTAATAAGGAGATAGAAAAGAGCAGTCAGGAGGACAATAGATAGTGATTGCATTTAAATTTTTGCAGATTAACGTTGGCTGGAAAGCATGGAGACAGGATGGAGTTTCACAAGCAAGAAGTTTCACCACCAGTCTAATGTTGTGCTTACATTCACACAGTCTAGATACCACAGTGAAGATCTCATCTGAACAATTACCATGAAAATACTTATAAAAATGACACTGGGTGGCAACCTTACGGTGATAAGCAAGTAACTGAAGCTGAGCCACCATATCAGTACCAATAATATTGCTGATTCTTCTTTGGATTTTATCAAGGAGCTCCCAGAAGATAGCATAGGCATCAGATGATATATGACAGCAATATTCTAAGCATGGATGGATGGTAGACAGATATGCAACAGATTTCAGAGAGAAAAATTGAACCGACTTTCTTAGAACTGTCAAAGGCTTTTGAGATGTCCAAATCTACAGCTTGCACTTCACTGTTTTTATCTAGAACCTGATAGACTCTTTCCATAATTATCGTTAGTACATCAGCAGTTGATCTGGAGAAATGAAAGCTGAATTTCTTGTCTGAGAAAAGGCCTTGTGATGAAAGATAATGAACCAATTCAGCATTGATTAGTGCCTCTAAAAGTTTCCAAAAAGAGGCAAACGTCTAATAGTCCAGTATTTAAATGGGTCAGATTGTTCACCAGAGTTTTTGAAAACTGCAACAGACAATGAATTCCAGAAAATAGGAAAGCAGGAGGTGTAAACACCAAGGCCATGCACATGAATGCTAGAATCTTTTCGGCAAATGGGAAGATACCCTGGAACCAAGAATTCATTGGTAGGAATGGAAGAATTCAAGTTGGTCTCACAGAGGGCAAAGATATCTGGCAAATTTTCCAGGAGAAAAAATTCTACACTGCAGAATTTGGAATGAAAGCCACAAATATTGGAGAAAGAAAGATGGTGGATGGCAGATGTTTTTTTTTTTTTTTGTTAGCTGGTATAGTTTAATTTCTTTTTGTTAGATATGTCTTGAAGAAAGAAAAAGAGAAAAGAAAAAGGCCATCTTAATTGTCACTGTCTGTCATCAATGGCAATACAAACCAACTAGGACATAGCTGAGAGCAGGTCATAATGTGGCCTCAGAGTTTCCCACCTGAAATACATGCAGGGTCACCTACCCAGGCGTTATATGGCCCTACAGATACCCCAATATTATGTGACTGTTGATCAGAACAGCCTCCAAAGAATTTGGGCTCCTTACAACTAGTTGGAAGCAGCAGCCAGCAAACTGCCAACCTGTTACCCTTATAATGGGAAGTCACAACCATTGCTTAGACATTTTTAAAAACATTTTTTTTAAGCATTTCACCCCAAGCAAGGTGGGAGTGCCACTAGCACGCAAGGGTTACAGAGAGTAAGAGTAAAGCGGAGTGTCTGAGAAAAGTATAAAGAGAAAGACCGGGATCAAAATCAAGGCATCAGAAGATGTCGATTGACATTGCATTTAATTTTTTTTAATCAGTGAAGCAAGTATGAGGAAGGGAGTTCCAGAGTTGGGAAGTGTGAGAGAAGAAGCTGTTGGAGTAGAAGTAGTTACATTTAACTGTTTTGACAGTAAAAGTCTGAGACCGACATGCCAAAGAAGTAATTCGTGTAGTTGGGTCACCAGTGAAAATAGATTGTATGAGCAGTTACTATGAAAATATTTGTAGAAAAGATAGAGGGAAGCCACATCACATCTGTGAAAAAGGGACTGAAGTTGAGATGCCAGATCAGGACCTGTCACAATGCATATCCATCTTTGGATTTTGTCGAGAACCTTGAGATGAACAGCGGGGACACCAGCCTATATATGTCAACAGTATTCAATGCAAGGACGAATGGTAGATTTGAAGTATAGACTCAAACGAGAAAAACATTCTGGCACAACACAGAGAACCAATTTTCCTTGCGATAGATCTACCTATTAATTCAATGCAGTTGTTCCATTTCAGGTCAGTGGAAAACATGAGACCAAGAAGGTGCAGAGAGATGCTCTCATGAAGTTGTGCATCAGCCATGCTGATAGGTGGCAGATCACCAATGAGTAAAGACAGTTAAATCATTGTGGCCCTGGTAGGAGGAAGAAAGAGAACTGTCAAAACATATCCTGAATTGGCAACAAAGGATGAAGATCTACTCCAGCTCAAGAGACAGGAAGGAGGGTGGACTGGGTGATAGGCGAACCTATCTGCTCCTATTAACCTGTTAAAAAAAATTGGGAAAAGATTCATATTATATTAGTATAAGTTCTTTTGTCTTCTACCAACTAAAAAATTGAGATGATAAAACAATTTTTCAGAAATGATAAATATATAGTTGTGAGTGCATTATGAAGGTCTCGATGATACCAATCTTGCATTTCTCAAAATGGTCGGCATTTGACACTCGATCATCAAATGTTAGACCACAGATTGTATGGATATATATATATATATATATATATATATATATATATATATATATATATATGAAGAAATATAGTCTTAAGATGTGCTATATTTATGGGATAAAGTGCTCAATATCAGAGATAGAGTGTGTGTAAATATAAAAGTGTACATATAAGTCAACACTTAGAGGCGACAGTCTGTTCCATGCTAGATGCAATCGTCAGGTTACGAGTGCTGTTATTTTTCTCGGCTATTTA